GCAGCCAAGGTGACCGTGCTGGCACAAAATCATAACCCGGACCTCATCCGGCGTTGGCGTTTGCTGAGTGAGGCGGGTGACCAATGCATAGGCTCTTCTACGGGCTCGGGGGTACCTGGCTGGGGGTTTGCATGGGGCTGCTAACTGGGGATCTACAGATGGTGGCTCTGGGTAAGGCATGGAAAGGAGGCTTGTGGCCTTACGCGTTAGAAGACGTTGTCGCCTATGCTAGTGAGATTAGCTGTCAAGGCTAGCAGCGTATAGTTGTTTAAACTCACAGCATAAAAACAGTCTGCAACGCTTATCAACCACTCTCTGCCGCTAAACAACAAAACTGATGCTCTTTTTTTTTTTTTTTTTTTTTTTTTTGCGGGTCCTCTGGCCAGATTGTTCTGACAGGGCTGGTGTTAGACTGGACCCAGGAGCAGACACCCAGACAGTATGGAAGGTTTAAAGGGGTTTTATTCCACGCACACACACACACACAGGGGGATGAGGGGCGGCCACAGCAGGAACGGGTGGGTGAGATGGCGGAAGAGACCGGAGACACAGAGGCACAGGAGAGCGGACACAGGAAGCCAAACTGCACAAGGGACCCTGGGGCACGGGAGAGAAACGGTTAGACAAGGGGACACGCACAGGGATAACACAAGAGACTTTTTAATTAAAAAAAAAAAAAAAAAAAAAAAAAAAAAACAAAAAAAAAAAAAAAAAAAAAGGAATGAAAGGAAAGAAAGGGGGGGTTTTTTTAAAAAAAGAGGAAATAAAAAATAATGAAGAGGGGAGAAAAAAGAGGGGGGGGGGGGAGAAAAAAGGGGCCCCACCAAAAAAAAAAAGGGGGGGGGGAGAAGAAGGGGGGGGGGGGGGGGAGCAATGAAATTTTGGGTTTTTTTTGGGGAAATAAAAATTTTTTTTTTCCTGTGAAAAGAAACCTTTCAATGAGTAATGTGAGGCTAATTCATAAATTTTTTTTTCAATTTGCCCAATACTGGTAACTAAGCATGTGGAGGCAAAAAATTACCCTCTATTGGTTCTATTAAATGAATACTGCCTAGAAACACTTAACACGGCCAGGCTAATTAAAGAATCTACTGTGCAAAATGTGTAAGTGTAGACGGGTTAAAGCAATTATCTCTAGAAATTTGTTCAGGATACGCATCTTCCTCCCTCCTTTTCACACTCACCCCAAGAAGCATTTCTCAAATTTCCTAGAAGGCGAAGCCAAGATGAAACAGTCAGTGGGATGACTATTTAAGTTATTAATTACTACTGTTACCGCTAATTACTCATTAACAATTAATTCACGAATTAAAGAATAATTTATAGTCTGTTAATGAGTTCCTATGTTGTGACTGATAACACTGTTAATAAACCAGGAGTGATTGAATGCAACATGAATAGCATGTTAATTAAGTCTGTCATTAAGTTATGTTTTGATATTATTTTATTGTCTGGTAAAGAATACTGATTAATTCATATATTCTGGAGCATAATCAGGCAAAAAAATATTATTTCATATTTTTCTGCGCTTTGTCATACGTCTTTTTCATGATCAAACAGTAAAGCCTTGTTCCTTGTTTTTCTTGTTTGCTTGCTGACATTTAAGGATCACACAGAGATAAATCCATCATAAAGGAAACATATATCCAAGTCTCCATCCATAATGCATTACATCTGTAAAAGGTTGTGTTAACAGGCATGATGTGCTTTATCTCAACTGGAAACTGCCACTCCTGTCTGGGCATGTTCGCTGTGAGATGCTGGAGGTCATTTTGGGAAATATAGGAAGTCAATAGCTAAGGCAGAAGTAGACAAGAGATAAAGTGGATAAAACACAAATATATATTATACCACCTAATCACAAACAGCTCTGGAATAGCCTACTCCAGACATCCCTGATTTATTATATTTACCACTGCATGGACGATGCTATTTACAGTAAATCCTCGGTGCAGGTTTTGCTGTTGGGTTGGCCCACATGCAAATCACCCCAGCAGTGTTAGCGCTGTACTTCCCCACTGAGCATTACATGATTATATCAGATCCAGCTTTTAATCATGAAAGTGAAAATGCAATTAAGCTGGATTGCACTGAGCGTAAACCTCTACCCCTGTCTGTCTGGTTAATTAGGTGGTTCGTGTGAAAGGCCTTACATTCACTCCACGGTTAACTCCTGCCATGGCCAAAATGACCACATATGTCTTGTGATGGCATTTTAATAGCTAATGAAATTTCTCATTTAAAAATAGTAAAAAGGAGACAGGAGGTGTGAGGTGCCAGGAGTAGGAGCAGCAGAGGTGTGGATATATTAAATTATGTATGCTTGCTTGTGTGTGTGTGTGTGTGTGTGTGTGTGTGTGTGTGTGTGTGTGTTAAACAGACAGAAAGAAACTCCACAGGACAGTCTTTTTAAGTGTAGACCAACTATAAAAATATTCAAATCCTTATGAGGCTTGAATGATGTTGCAAACACCTATTCACTTTACTCATTTCAGATGAGACTTCCACATTTATTATTCTGTAAATAATCCAGTGTTACACTTTTTAATACCAGGTGTCCATGTATTATTTCCAGTCATCTCCGCTTTGACAAGACTTTATAGAGGAAGCCTGACACATATTACAGCTGGACTTTGCCTCACTGGTGTCCTACTGCTGCTTCACTGGGGACTCATCATCAGCGATGTAACAGAATTGCTCCCCAGCTGCCTGCCTACTCCTAGGGTGTGCCAGTCAGCTAAATCACTGCTAAGCACTGCTGGGCCTGCCAACAAGCATGCATTATTGATTTACATTGAAAACTGTTAACAAGAAAGAGTGTGGGCTTGTGCTGCTCCACCGGTAGATCATGGCATCAAAACTGCCATGTGTAGATTCCCTCTGGGGCCACCGCTGGCTATTGTGTGTAAAAGTATCTTGTTCTCTTCTTTTATTTCATGAGGTGGCTTTATTTTTTACTTCCTTAGCTGTATAACCTAAGCTAACCAAAGGTTTTCTTCCTAAACACTTAATGGTTCTATAATAACTTATATATTTGTAAGCAAATGTAAGGACATTTTAAAAGGGTTAATGTATTTGTCAAAACTTAAAGCATTCATATGCACAAATTTTTAATGATTTATAATGCAGTGTAATTATACAATATATAATGCCATCAAGCATCAATTAATTGTTCATAAATCACTTACAGATGCTTTTAGGAAGAGTAATAAAGGAGGAGTTATAGTTGATTATTACATTTATAAGCACTAACAATGTCCTTAAATCTACATATAACTACATTATATGTATGTTATAATGTGTTTATATTGCAATCATTGTAATAAGCTGCATATAAATGCTAAAGGGGGTTACAATAAAGTAATGTATTATATTTAATCCATGTATTGCTGTTTGTGTCCTTCACTATCACAGTATTCAAAGTGGCAAATACAATTGTTTTTGCATATGAAAATGTTCATTCAGTGTATCCATTATTTTAAGTGTTGTGAGGCATCATGGTGTTAAAATATTTTGTTTTTTGTTCAAAATCAAACTCATACTTCAGTTATCAAACTGAGCAAAGGCAAAGCTCTTTATCTATTAGTTAATTATTGTTAAATAAGCTTTTGGTTTTCTCTTCATCCTTCTTGTTGAGAACTTCATCTGCCTTTTTTAGTGAATCTCAGTCTCTTGTCTCTACTTTCCAGGATGGTATACACCACTCTGCTGACTGAGCTAATTCAGAGTGACACTGCTAGAGATTGTCTCTGCGTAAGGAGTCCCACCAACCAATGCATTACAATGGCACCTTACAACATCTTAAGCTCCATCACTGTTATGCCGTAAAAACACCTTGCCTTGGATGTAGAAGCTGGAACAAGAATGCTGGCAGAGAAAGCTGGCCCGTACATCTGTTTTAGCTTTAGTGTGGACTGGACAGACTGCTAATTAGTAATTAGCAGCTCATTATTGTCTGGACAGGACACTAGCCAAAAACAACTGAATTACCTATGTGAGCCACTGCGTGTGTTGCTGGTCCAGGGACTGTAGGGGAATCAGTGTAGTGGCCAACCATGTAAACCCCACTTATGAGACTGTTTATTTGTTCCTCTTACACATTTATGTCATTAAGGGTAAAAGAAAAACTATGTTGCTACAGCATCACCAGCACAAAAAAAACCTATATGTTCTGATTTGCTGACTCAGAAAACATATAGTAAAAGTAAAACAAAATGCAATTGCACATATAATATTTCTGTTGACGAGTAAATATTGGTTATTCATTATTAAATGTGGATATCTCAGAAAACCTGAGTCTAACTAAATTGAATTATGCTGAAGTGCTGATTCAGGTATCGATTATCATACTATAAGGCCCAAAGAGTATCACTTTCCATCTTCAGATTCTAATGTTGAAGCTACCTCTAGTGGTAGGAAGAAAGAAAGGCATCAAATAATGGAGGGAGTAATGAAATAAAAATTTCATTCATATCAAAAATATATTAAATCCAAGATACCAAAGTGGTTACAAAGCCTCTGAAGAGAAATGTGTTTCCAGGTCTCTGCTTAATAAATAATACATGTCTAAAACTGTGGTCTGAAGGGCATTGGAGGTGCTGTGAGTGCAAGCTTGTTTTTCATTTTAAATCTGTGTTCAAGCCCTGTGAAAAGACTTGTACCAAGTGTTCACCTACTGAAGTGTCCAAAAGACAGAAATCTGTTGTGCTTTGACCCCCCCTTAGAGAGGTATAACATTTCTCACTTACAGGTTGGTTGGTGTATAAAAATTAAAGGTCAGAATTTCCATATTTTCTACAGTACATTCGAACTAGAAGCATTGCTGCAGCTGAGTAAGTGTTGAAAAAGAAAACAGGGATTTACCGCTATTTAATGTTATGTCTATACATATATGTGTGCATTGCTGAGTTGTTGTATTGATAAAATTATTTCATTTGGGTTTTAAAAATGGGCAAATGAACATAATTCAATCAAATTGTAAAGAAATGATATAACTTGGCTACAACTTTAGCTGTTTATTGAAATCACACCAGTTTCTTTACATTTGGTTCAACTTTGGACCAATCCTATATTTTTACAGATATGGTAACAAGGAAATAAAGGACTGACTTTGAACAGGTGTTTGACAGTAATGTCAGTTTGTGAGCAAACATCCTGCCACACCTTGATGGATATAAGGATGCATCTGTCTTCAGGATGGTTCTGAGATATGAGTTTCAACATATTCAGCATTCATTGAGGTAAAAAAAAGTTTGGGGCTTTTGTTCTGAAAATTAAACTTTACACAAAATCAGGTCATATTCAAAATAAAATACAGTCTGTAAAATGTCTCTTGAAAACCCAAAGCCTAGTATTGTACCGTGAACCAAGAAACCCAGAAGATCTTTAGTACCCACAAGCACTCACTCGATGCATTATTTATGAAAACCAGCACTTTTGATTGGAGACAGAAGCTTTTTGCTGTCCGTGTCACTCATGTGAAAAGGCCATGCTGTAGGACTCTCGAGGATCTGTTATTTATTTTTCTGTCTGATAAATGATGCAGATGCAGTGATCCTTCCGACTCATTTTCACCTTTGTGAAGAGACAGAGGAAGACTCAGGCAGTGCACACTCACAGCTCTACACAGACAATGAGGCAAGTTGATCATAGAAACAGGTCCATCCCCAGCTGTGCGTTTCAAAACTGAACTGATGTGATTATCAGAAACAAATACCTTGTGGTTCTGGCTCATTTGTTACTGTAATATCACAATAATGTTTGATTTAAGAAGCCCATGATTTATAAGGAAAGCACAAAAAAAAACACCATTGTCATCAAGGCTTGCTAATTCGCACACCTGAATCAGGTTTATTTTATTGGGCACAGCTGTGTCCACCCTGCCGTGATAAAGGGTCTGTCGGCTGTGCAGTGACGCAGAAGTGTATGTACGTTGGTTTGAGACAGTCAGCATATAAAAGAACAAAGCTGCTTACTTTCAGTTTTACACTGCACAATGGAATGTGTTAACATAGGTGAGATTTTAGTGCAATGTAATGACTTTAAATTGGGCCTGAAAAAAACATCTCAACCTTAACTGCAGTTGGCATCTGTGTGAGACTGCAACCAATTCTAATTATATCTAAGGACCTTTTTACCAGAACTCACCATTTATGCAAAGACCAAGACAAACTATATTGTGAGTGTTAGCCAACTTCATAGAGTGATATACAGCTCTGTGCATCAGGTTTATTTACAGTGTGTCAGTCTGTCCATGTACTTCATAATATGATGATTTTTCCACAAGCATACATCATTTGTCACAAGATGCTGAGGTGCTGTTACGCTGCACCTGTGCAAACTGCACTAGTCAGCCTGAAGTTTGCATTTACAGTTCAGTTCAGTTCAGGCAAAAGCAGAGTAGGACCGCTGACTTGGATGTTTACCATTATATAAACAGTTCGAAGAAGGGCTGGCAGAGATCCTGGTGTAGGAAGAAAGGGAGAGTTGATTATTGTTTAAACTAAGACACTGAAGAGATTAACTTATTACAATGTGTTGAATATGGTTGTCAGTCAGTCCGCTGAACAAGAGTGAACCTCAAGGAAAAGTCCAGGGGCCTCATGTACTAACGTTGCGTACGCACAAAATTCGTGTATACGCCATTTTTCATGTTCACGTTCGGATGTACTAAAAGTGAAATTAACGTGAGAATGTCCGTCACGTCTTGTATGTACCGTAACCCTTTCACAATATAGCAGTACAGTATATCAGTCTACCGTAATACAGGGACTCCACCACCTGTGGCCTGAACACTCTGGCGATGGGCAGATAGGTCTTCATATCTGACCACTTCTTTTTCAACTCCGCTGCAGTGCGGTTCTCCGACCCTACCAACTTTACTGCCTGTGCCACGCAAAATTTTTTTTTTTTGGGGGGCTCTACCTCCGTCAGCAGCACCTCCAACTCACACTCCGTAAAATTTCTTTTTTTCCTGGCTTTTGCCATTTTCCTAAAGACAGCACTATCTAGGCCTATTTATACTAATTAGCATATTCAAATCGGTGTATTTGAGGGAGGGGACAGGATGGAGCGTTGTGCTCTTGCATGTGCGTTCAATTTCACGTTGATTGCGATGTACAAAGACAATGTGCGTGGGATTCTGCGTATGCACGTTTTGATACATCTGAATTTTTTTTTGCGTACGGAGCTTTCACTCTTTCACTGTACGCCACATTCTAGTAGGAAATCCACGCAAGTCTTAGTACATGAGGCCCCTGGTGTATTCTTTTCAAGTGTCATAGCAATAACAGCGAGCCAGCATGCATAACAGACCCTGAAAACATAGTCAAATGTTGCCGGAATCTACCAAACCAAGAACATTTGGTGTAACTTTAACATCTAAGAAAGTGGTGGAATGTAATTAAGTACATTTACTCAAGTATTGTACTTAAATACAAATTTTGAGGTACACTGGAATACACCATTTTCATGTAACTTTATACCTTATACATACACTATACTCTACACTATATCTCAGTGGCAAATACTGTATTTTTTGTTACTAGTTAATTTTCAGGTTAGAATTTTTCATACTCTTCCTGTCCAGTGGAAACCATGATTGTTTTATTTGAAATTTTCTTTAAAAAAAATATATATAAACTGGAAGACTTTATTGTTCCTTAATGATTTGAGAGAACTCTATTTCTTACATTAAATAAACTATTCAAACCCCTCTAGGATTTGCCAGAAGGATTTGCTGGAAAATGCATTGCCATAAAACTGAAAACAGGGCTGCTTTTCTGAACTCGTGAAAAGTTAAATTTTTAGAGCACAACAAACATGGTGATCTTACGACGCAGTGCAGTAACCACCCAGCAGTAGCCTATATAAAGCAGCTCAACCTCAAACATCTGCAGCAGTAAAATGCAAAATAGACATTCAAGCACATCAAATATAAAACCATTTTTCTACACAAGGAATCCTTTTTCTTTGGATACTTTGAGTATACCTACATTTTGCTGATAATATAAGCCGACAACAGCGCTTTCAAACCCACTGAACAGCTCCACTTCATAAAACAGAGACATGTTTCCGTTGTACCTGTCGCTTGAACGCACAGGTGGTGGATAGCTCCTTTGTTTCCTAATCCGACGGTAACGCGCCTGCGTGCTCGCGCTCTTTATGGTACAGGTAGGCTCAGCCCAGCCCACTGGAGGACACACTGCAGGTAAGCTCGACCCTCACCGCCAATAACGAAAGTAACAGGAACACCGAGGATGTGTTACTTCTCTTCTCTGTTGTAGAAATAATTCGGGGAGCATGGCAGCTGTAAGTATTTATCAGCAACTGTTTTGGGGAGTTAACTTAACGTCGCGTGAGCAGAAAAAAAATGGCTAATTCATCCTGCTAGTGTAGCATCTGGCGGCGTATTAAAGCGTGTTGCTATTTTTGAATTGTGTATATTAAATGTAGCGGGTGCTAGCAACGTTTAAGTGCGCAACAGGTGGCCACTTTCTAAGCATTTGTTCTTTCCTAGCAGCAGCGGGATGATATGACAGTTACAGCAGGGAGCACAGTCAACATGGAGGATTTTTTCAAAACGGTAAACTTCACACACACACCCACACACACACACACACACACAAACACACAGCTTGTGTCAGTTTACGACTTGTCATATCTAGCAGCCTAACGTAAATGTTTGTCTGTGTGTGTGTGTGTGTGTGTGTGTGTAGGTGGGGGAGGTGAGAGGCCTCATTGAAACAATCTCCTGTCAAGCAGAGGAGGTGGAGAGGAGACATGGCGCCATCATTTCCACTCCAAACCAAGACAAGAGTAGGCTATGTATATAGCACCAGCATCTTGGTGCATATCAGTCAGAGCTGATAGAAAAGTAGAAACTTGATACCTTCACTGTTGTGCAGAGATCTTTCTACTCCTTCAGGGCACACAACATTGAGAAGACAAACAAAAGCCTTTGACAAACACACCTGTGTATGCTTGTAGAGACAGGTTTTCTGTAGGTTAATGCTTAGAAATAAACAAACCACATCACCACAGGTACCATCACATCATACTTAGGTCATTTTAGGACATTATTTGAATTTTAACACAAGATTTGAGCATGTGGCAATGCATGTATGTAGATACAGAACCTGCATACCTGTAGAATAAATATGCTCCTACACACTGATAATAACAATGTTACATTCACGATCCCGATATGTGGTTGCAGATGCCATCCACTCGGAGTTATTGATAAATCTTTTTGATGTGGTTTGATCTAAATGGAACCTAAATTGACTGGTCAGAGATCTCTTGAGGTAAAATAATAGACTATATCAAAGCTGCAATTATCATAATATTAAACTAGTTAAATCTATAAATTAGAACATGATACATATATTCACCTTGATGACAGATTGAATGCTGATATGGTTCCCTCTGTGAAGTGAACCTGTGTTGTTCTCAGGAAACAAGGGTGAGCTGGAGCTGCTGAACAATGAGACCAAGAAGAACGCCAACTTGGTCCGAGCCAAGTTAAAATGTGAGGGGAGATAAGTATTTTTAAATCCTTGCACAATGTGTTTTTGTACAGTAGATATTGATTTGTCTCATACTGGAGTTGTGGCGCAACACAACTAGTGTAGTTGTTCATACAAGAGTTTGTAAATGTGTGTGGCTGTGGACCATCATTGTTTGAGACGATGAGGAACTGTGCATCACGTCGTCAAATTCTGGGACTGCATAGTTCATAACACAGGATTTGACTTGCAAATGGAGAGAGGCTACTGAACTGGGCTCTGAACACACTGTCTCAGATTAATAAAACCCAGATTTTATGACGATACAGAAGTTACAGAAACTTTATAGCTTTCTGTAAGCTGTGAATAGTGTGTCTGAGTGTTAATTGGAGTTTTAAGTTGGTCCTGTGCTTGTTTTCATATTAGATTTGTCTGATGTGTTCTTCCAGCAATGCAGAAGGACTTTCCTGCGGATGAGAATTGTAAAGGTGCTTCAGTAATCCAACGTATTCAGAAGAACCAGGTATGCCAGTAATTGTATTTCTAGTGAAAAGCCAGCAGCATGCTCAACTCTGAGTTTATTACATCCGCTGGGGAAATAATCCTATATGCCTTAGTCTTTATGTATCTCACAAAATCACCACTGACAGTGATCTGTGTACAAGATTGATATTTGAATTCATTCTTTTTCATTTGAGTTCAATAATCTGATTTGAAATTCTGCCTTTGATCAGCACTCTCACCTGACTCGGTGGTTTGCTGAAGTCATGAGGGGCCACCATAAGGTGCAAATCTCCTTCAGAGAGAAATGCAAAGCACAAATTCAGAGACAACTGGAGATAGGTGAGTAACCAAAAACACATGGAACCAAAACATAAACACTTGTTCCTCCTACCACTCTGCTCAGTGTTGTGTAAATGGACTTCCTATCATACACCAAGATTTTATCATGCAAGTATCAGTATTGTATTTTAGAAAGGAAGGACACCTTGCCAACTCTTTTTTTTTTTTTTTTTCATTTTAATTATCTGTCTTAAATGACTTCAGATTACACACACAAGCACAGGTTGTGCTTTAATCCTAGAGGGGACTCAATTGAGTTTGGTTGGGAGAAAGTGGCGCAGCAGTACAGGAGAGGTGTAATTGCGCCATCCTGTGGTTAACATCCAGAAATGCATGCCCAATCTTGTTCTTTGTGCCTTTGTAGGACACACTTCCGGTTAGCTCACTACACAATGTTATTTTGTGTCAGTGAAAATATATTATATAGATAATGTTTTATGAGATTGTGAATGTCTATTTTGTGATAGGTAATTTAAGCCTGTGCACTTCTGTTTAAAGGGATGTTTTTTTGATATGACAGACTGTTAAGCTAACCTGTACACCCTGTACAATCACCTTTAAAATGTCAGGCTTGTCTCTGTTTCAGTGGATAAAGTGACTACAGATGACGAGCTGGAGGAGATGTTGCACCGTGAAGATCTTGCCATCTTCATATCTGATGTTAGTGAGATTTCCTTCAGTTCTGGGCAACACAAATGACTATGCTATCATTAGTAATACCTACTGTAGTTCTATTTTTCCTCTTGATCACTTGCACATGCAGTGAAAGTGTAATGTAAAGATGTTTCGATGACGCTTCTAAAAACAATTACTTTCACAGATCAACTCTAATGCTCGGATTTCAAGCCAGGCTCTGAGTGAGATTGAATCTCGTCATCAGGACATCATCTGTCTCGAGTCCAGCATCAAAGAGATGCACGAGATATTTGCTGACACTGCCATGTTGCTGGAGATTCAGGTAAAATGCCTCATTTGGAAATGTTTAATAACCACTGTTATAAAGGAATGTACTTGTGTCATTGAACCCAAAACCTGGCTGGTGTTGGTTTTGTTTTTTTCTTCTATCAGGGGGAGTTGATCAACAACATAGAAAAGAATGTGATGAGTGCTGCAGAGTATATAGAGGTGTCCAAAGACGAAACCTATAAAGCAGTCACGTACAAGAAAAACCCTTACAAGATAGCATCTCTCCCGAACTTCTTGAAGCCCTTCAAGAGGCAAACCACTGCTAAAACTGATCAAAACACCTCAGACTTAAAACATGACTGAGCTCCTGAAACTGTTTGAACATTGACTGCACCAAAAATCCTGATCAACATCAAAGTCTGTGCTTGATGGAACACACTTTTCATCTTATTTAAGGTACAGTGCCTGTCTGCCTACTCAAATGCCTTTTTACCCCTAAAGGATAATGAGGAAGCTGTGTTTTTTTTTTTTTACTTAAATGTGAATTTGAACTGCTATGATAATGAACTGTCAAGTGAAAGTGACAATATGCTGTGGACAAGGCTTGAATTCCAGCTTACCTGTGGACTGTCAAAAGGACAAGTGCTGCATACAACCTCAAACAAATCATTATTTTAACTATGTTGTCTGTCAGTGTTTACAGACTACCAATTCTGGGATTAAACCTGGTTAAAACAGTAATTTAACACAACAACTGTACAACAAAAGCAACAAATTTGAATGCAAGACACCTTCTAGTTTGGTCTGATCATGTATTCACTCACTGTTAGCTGGTCCTCCCATTACTGGCCAGTAGGTGGCATGACAACATTAGTTAAAACTCTGAACTGGGGTCATTAGCCTTCCTCTTTGCAGTCTTGCTGAACTCTGTTTGTTTTGTTTTTTTCTGTGATACTGTGGTTTTACTAATGAAATGTAATGTAATATCATGTTGTCTAATACTCAAAAAGATATGTGTGTAATATCTTTGTATAAAGTAAGACCATGCCAATCCTAAAATAAACCAATGTGGCCACTGTGAATAATGTGTTACTGGTGCTTTATGTTAAGGTGATTTAAAGGGGGGAACGGGTTGCTGTTATCTACTGGAATCAATCATTATGTGTGATGTACAAAAAAATAGCCAGATGTCTGTATCCACTCGTAAAATGTTTTATGCTATTTACAAGAAAATATATAATGAAATTAAACATTACACTGACTCATTAAAGTGTTTTTAGCCTCAGGGTGTCTGCTGCCATCATCCTGTCAGTTTGTTCTATTTGGGTTATGACTATGCAAAATTATTGACATTCCCATCAGCCTCAGCTGTGCTTTGTGTTTAGTACTAATAGTTAATGCTAACATGCTAAAGTTAGATGGCAAACATACCTATGAAACAGCATTGGCAATATACCGTGTTAGCATACTGACTTTAGCATTTAGCTCAAAGCACAACTGTTCCTATGTCCCTTCCTTCATCTATTTATACAACCCTGTGTTGTAAAATAATAAAGCAATCCTCCTTTTAACCTTGTAAGTACAAGGAATGCTGCACTAAAAGGTCTAAATGGTGATGTACATACATATGAGGGTAAAATTAAAGGTAAAAAACAACATGGAGTGTCTCAGTTTGGCCACCACAAGCCAATAGAACAGCTTCAGTTTGCCATGGGATATCTGTAACCCTACTGGAGGGATGATTAGTTTCCAAAAAATACTTCCTCATTCAGTGTTTTGATGGTGGTGGTGGAGGAGACTGCTTTGTATCATCAGTCTAACATCTGGGCTGGGGTTAAAACCGGTGACTGTAAAGGTCATATCATATGATATCCAT